TCTGATCGCAGTAAGGGCTTGTTCACACCATAAACAGTGCCTGTCTAGATCTGTAGATCTCTTGGTTTTTTGGACACATAGCTTTCAAGCGTTCCAGAGGGGTCAGCTGCTGGAACCTACTGTATCCCATCCCGGCCGGCTTCCTGCGTTCAGGGGTGGAAGGGGACGTGGTGGTGCATTGAAGTGGCACCGCAACCGCGCCCTCCCACCCGCACTGTGATCGCCAGCACTAGAACGTGTGGCATAACAAAGCCTGCGTTCCGGTCCAGTGCGATCTGAAAAAATAGTGCTTGTATTTACTTGCGCACAGCCACACCACCTCCCGCCCCTGAGCGCACAAAGCCGGCTGGGATGCAATCCAGTGCGTTCCAGCACGGTGCGCTGCTGGAATGCACTGGTCTGCATCCCAGCCGGCTTTGTGCGCTCAGGGGTGGCAGGTGGCAGCTGGTGTGAACCAGCACTAAAACCTTATAGGGGTTATAATCCTTTTCCACTCTAGCCGGGGAAAAAAATAACAGGTGGAACATACTTTGTTTTCCGCTCAATAAAATCCAAGGTTTGCATACATCGCCTGTCTAGATCTGTAGATCTCTTGTTTTTTTTGACGCATAGCTTTCAAGGTAATCTCTGCTTGTACATAGTTGCCCAGGTTTGTGTTTTTTAAAGCTGAATCTAAGGCAACTGAAAGTGACTCTAAACTCCAGAGTTAAATCTTAATAGTTTAGATACTTAAAGTGACATTAAACCTTCAGATTTTTTAACATAAAACAATAGTGTAATGTGTGCCTTACTGTAATCCATGGTTGTTTTCCTTTTTGCTGCTCTTCCTTTTAAATCTGTATCTGTTCTCATGCTCCGCAGAACTTCTGTTTTGCACCAGACTGCCTTGTCTCAGGAATGGATATACGGTGTCTGTGTATTAGTTTCTAAAGGCTTGTAACCTGAGTCATCACTACAGGAAGAGGCCCTGAGCTGCAAAGGGGAGTTCTGCAGAAGGTGGGGTTTTTTTTTTTTTTTTTTTTTTTTTTTTATGCTTGTCCCAGATCAGTGATTTGGAGATCCCTCCCTCAGGCCTGATACGCAGCCCAAGTGCCAAATCAAGTCATGTGTACAGCAGACTGACCATGCTGATTGGCAACCTCCTCCATTCATGTAAATGGGAAGGTGTTTGAACTAGGGATGCACCGATACTCATACTCTCCCAAATGCTCCGATGCGTAGCCGGATACCAGAGCTTCCGGTATCAGGAAGCCGGGCAGCGAGTGTAGAATATGATATTTGATGTCATATTTTTATGTCCTATTCATATTCTTGTTCTTAAGGTGAAAAGTTTAAAAGAGGAAAAATAGCTTCCGTTCTTGCTTGAAACTCATAAATGTGTTTAATTACAAAGTTACAAGTGATTACAAAATAATAGCATAAAACAAAAGTATAGAAATATATGTAGATGTATTAATAAGTTCTTGTAAGTGTTTAAAGCGTTAGTCTCTCATGTCTGTGTGTCTCTGTGATAATTCCAACATTGTCTCTTCAAATGACCGGGCTTTCCACAATAGAAGCAAATTACAGCTCCACCCTGCTCTGAAAATCTAGTGCTGACGTGTCTCTCACCACTTGTGGGTGTGGCTACACAAACCTCCTTTCTCTGGTCTCCATCTTGGAAAGCATCTACACTGCATTGTGAAGTACTAGATTTAATTTGCCTAATTATTTTGTCTAGGAAAATTGCAGCATCTTCTAATGTCTCTTTCTCTGCAGCTACTGCAAGAGAAGTTGGATCCAAAAATGTAAACTTTTTTGCAAAAACTTTTATCATGGCTGCTGGATTATCCTCTTGCGAAAGTCCCATGATCATTCTATATGCCTGCTCAAACTTCTTCATAAAAGTAAATGGATCATCATTACTAGAGGGTTGTAAGCAATTTAACATATCAACTGTTGGGATTTCTTCTCCTGATGCTTCTCAGCTTCTTTAATCTATCTGACTCTGTACAATGTATTGTCTGTCCTTCATCTGTTACCATTGGAGATTTCAGTCTCCGACTGTAATGACATGGTAACCACGCCTTAAAACAAATGTTCTTTTGTTTAGTTGTTAAATTAAACTTATCTGTATAGGCTTCAAAGACATCTGCATTGTTAAATGCATTCTCATGCTCATCATAAGCTGGAATGTCTTTAACAATATTCATTAATTGAACAAAGATTTTAAGGCTAGGTTTTGCAGATTTGTCTAACATTTTGTTTTTCCTTATTGCAGTATCATCTTGCAAATCATCCTCTATATTAGAGGGTACAAGAGACTGTTCTTTAGTTTCCTGTCCTTCACTTTTGCTACCTCCAGCCCTTGTAGTTACCGATATCCTCTTTACAATATTCTGTAATTCAGACAGCTGAATGTTCTTTATTATATGAATAACTTAATCAAGAAATATTGCAATAAAGATATATAATACATACTTTGTAAACACTTCATAAACTTTGATTTAGAATGCCTCACAGTCTTTCTTGATAATAAGGAATGTAGGAAGTTCTAAGCATTTCTGCTTGATCAGTAACACATGTATAGCAAATACAACCTGAACTACAGACTCTAATCTCATTGCGTATATTCCCATACTGAACAAATGTATATATAGAAAATCAATCATCACTTATGTTCATCACATGCATACATAATCCCTATATGAATAATACCCTTTTAACAGCGAGTCATTATATGCTGCCCGGCTTCCTGATTGGCCAGGAAGCCGGCTCCATGCTCCCTCGTCACCTGGTGAGCATGGAGACTGCTTCCCTGCTAATCAGGAAGCCAGGTGGCGAGTAATTACACACTGCCTGGCTTCCTTAATGGGACTTCAGGTATTGGTATTCAATATCGGCAAGTACCAAAAATAAAAACTCGTACTCCCATACCAAAAGACGGTATCGGTGCATCCCTAGTTTTAACCACATCTATAGCAGTTACGGACTGTTTGAGAAGCATTTTTTGAAGAGTTTACAAGGTGCCTTGGGAAAGGCATTTGAGGTTCCGTATATCTCAAAGAAAGCATTGGGAAATGATAGAGAGGCTATAGAACAGCTTCAGTAGTGCCTTCCCTTTCTGACTTATACTGTAGCAGTGCCATCCATTTTTTCTAGATCACTTCATCTTTGAAAACAATGGAAAGACAACGCAGAGCGTTTGGCAAGCATTTATTAATGTGGTGTAAACATGTCAAAAATGCATCTAAAATGCACCTTTAACACTATAGCCATGTTAATGGGCATTCATCATTTTGGTTATTGTTAGTTTAAAGTGACATTAAAGCCTAAAATCCCCCCCAATGCTGGTGTAAAGACTTACCTTAATTGATGCCTCTTGATCCGATCATCTTCTTCTTCTTCTTTCCAGTAGTTTTCAGGAGCCCCTCCAGCGCTGGTGCAGTCTCTGATCCAGCGCAGATTCCTGCCTCTTCTTGTCCCACGGTGTCTGTGTGGGTGCACGCTGCCCCCGTTGACTTGCCTTGTGTCTCTCCTCTTCTCCCGTCCAAAGATCTGCTACTGCGCTTGTGCCCGCCCCATGGTCCTTTGCGGCCGCACGCGATTCTTCAGGCAGATCTTCCAACGGGAGCGCGTGGTGGAGACCCAGGTAGGTTTTAACCCTTTTTGAATGTTTTTGCATATATCTACATGCAACAAAAAAAGCGAGGCTTTAATAATCCTTCAAGAATGAGATTGAAAAATGTCTGTTTGTGACTAGCATACATTTACGTAGCAGTGATATATTGGGCAGCATTTTCCAGAGTGCCTACAACCCTACAGGTAAATATTTGCTCTGTAAGAGCTTGCAATCTGTCAACGCACGCACAAACACAGAAGATGTAAAAAAAAAAATACTGAAATAAAGTATTAGGGTGAGAGAGAGAGGGGGAGAGAGAGAGAGAGAGAGAGAATTCTTTACTCCCAGGTCCAACATTTATGACATCCCCACAACAAGTTTCTCTTGCTTTAAGTGGTAACGTTGTCATGTTGATTAGTATTGCTTCTGAGCTAGCTGAAGAAGGGAGGTTAACACCGGAAAGCTTGTCTTTTATATATTTTGTTAGTCCAATAAGAAAGTTATCAACACATACTACAATACTGTGGACACACACACCACACACACTTTTGGGGGGATTATGAAAGAAGCCTAGTTGAATGGTTTCCTTGCAAGGAGGATATGAACCAATTACCCAGTGTGCTGCTCACTATTACTATAATGGTACTGACATGTCCTGAGAATGCTCTTGATGGTTTGTTAGTAATTTACAAAGATCCTGTCATCATGCTGCAGTTTTAGAAGGAACCAAGCACCAAGGAATGTAGAGTCCTGACATGGTGAAGTTACTTAAGATGGCCAAACACTATGTGAATTTTATCTGACCTCCCTCTATCAGCAGATTGAAGGACCCAGTTCAAAATCTTCAGCTGAACGGACCTTACGGCCAATCAGCTGTAAGCTCTATTCGGTTATTCTGAATACAATGAAAGCAGCGGGGGATTCCTCTATCCACGCTCCTAAGCGTTGATGGAGAAATATGTTATATTTATACTTGCGGGCTGAACGAAGAAGATATAACAATGTACGGCCAACTTTACCATAGGACGTGTCAAATCTTGAATTCACACAGTTTTTGAAGAATGCAGAGTTTGATTGCTTTTGGATTATATGACCCAGATAATTTTTTATCTTGGATCCTTGCGTTCTAGAGATAGGCCTGTTGCTTTGTTAACTTTGTTTTTGGAACAGACTGGCAGTCATTTGAGGGTGTTTATGCTCAATATGTGCAAAATGTTGTACAAAATGGATGTACTCGTAAGAAATTGTGCATTTATGAGTTACTGGAAAATGTTATAATAATGTCTATTGTGATAAGACAGTCAAAGTTGCATGCAAAGAATTAAAAAGAAAAAGGGGTAGAAAATTAAAAATATATAGCAGAAATAGTTAAAACACGTGTTCTTCTCTTCCTACACAGGATGTAGACATAGTGGTTTCTCCTTGCCGGGGCTCCCAGCCTGCAACTTCTACTCTGGAAGACTACATTGACCATGTTCAGCCTGTCCTTGTATATGCAATAAGTGAGGACCTTCTAAATTCTCAAGATGAAGAGGAACTTAATGATATGAAGACAAAATATAAACTACCTGTGATTTTTATTCGGACAAACCCCAAGGACAAACTGATCTGTAGTCCAGATGGTGGAAATTCTGCACTGCACGAGCAGCTGACAGAACTTGGATATTTAAAAAAAGGTATATGTAGTTGTGGAGCTGCTGGGTCAGGCAGCCCAGCTCCAAGTGTTTTAGTTGAGCAGTTTGAGAAGCTTCGTCAACTAAGTAACTTCTCCCGTCAAGTTCTGCAGATGCACCTGGTTGATGCAGCAATGGTTCTTAACATGGTGCACAGTCGATGTCTGGACATATTCATCAATAAGGCTTTTGATATGCGTAGGGACCTTCAGATTACTCCGAAGAGACTGGAGTACACACGCCAAAAAGAGAGTGAGCTGTATGAGTCTCTAATGCGCATTTCTGATCGTAAGCAAGAGGAACTAAAGGACATGATCGTGGAAACCCTAAACAGCATGAGAGAACAACTTCTTGAGGATGCCGCCAACATGCAGTTTAAAGGTGCATATTTCATTTCCTGTTAGTGGGTTTAAAGAAGAACTACACACATAAATATTCTTAACCCTTGTAGTGTGTCTACCCCCACACTGTAAGGGTTAAAGGAGAACTATGAGGTGAGTGCTTTTCACTCACCTCATAGTTCTAGCCGACCTGTGACAATGAGACTGTCACAGGTCGGCTAAGTAGATCGGGAGGTGAGCGAACACATACCGGCGTTTGCTCACCTCTCGATCCTGTCACGGCTCTATGCCGTGACAGGGGAGGGGCTGGATTCCCCCCACTCCGATCCGCCAGCGCTGACTGGCGGAACGGATGGGGGAGGAGGCGGGTACAGCTGGCTCTGCCTCTAGATAGGCAGAGCCAGCTGTCAGTCACGCAGCTGGGCGATTCAGCTGCGGCGTCTCAGTATACCGCGAGCAGCAGCTCACAGTATACTGCGGCGTCTCAGGATACCGCGAGCTACAGCTCGCAGTATACTGAACCTAGGGTGACGGGAGGACGCTAGTTTGTGTCCTCCCGTTACCCTAAGGAGAACTATGGAGAACACTTTTTTTTAAGTGTTCTTTTCATCCCTAGAGGAAAACTAGCAGATATACTCACCTGAACCTCACAGCTGGCTGTCTGTTAGACTGGCCCGTACAACATGCCTCCTCCTCTGCTTCAGCAACATGATGACTTGAAGGACCTGAGACTGCTGGAGTGGAGAGGGAAGGAGGCTATGGCTGATGTAGATCATTGAAAGCGGTTTTTTTAAAAATATTTGTTCAATTAGTGCTAAAAAAAAAAACTCCTGTGCTGACTGTTATCGGTTACATTGTTCCTAGCTGTCTGAGCACTGCAGAACCTCTCCTTTCTGTTATGGAGAAGCAGAGATGGTAAGGTTATTGTGGTCTTATCCAAAAAGCGTGACAACGCTGCTACATACCTATAGTATGGTAAGTAAAAGTTGTTGCCCTAGGACAGGAAGTGTATTACTGGCAGGTTTGTTATAAATACAGGGTGAAAATCCTGAAATTAAAAAAAAAAAACTATTTAGATCTAATCTTCCTCTACCCTAGCAAGAAAAATAAATGTAAGTCTCTCTTCGCATCCCGGCCGAAAATGTGAACTGCACATGCGCCCGCCCCAATATCCTTGCAGGCGCCCGAGAATGTACAAATTTTTGGACAGGAGGGCGCGGGGAAGACGCAGGTAAGTTTAAACCACTGTTAAAGCGGTTTAAAAAAACAAAAACTTTTTGCATGTATCTACTGCTGGCTAGCAGTAGATATATGCAAAAAAAAGCTGAGAGTTTAGAAACCCTTTAAGATACATTTTTGATAACAGTTAAGGTAAATTAATGCATTTTTAAGATTTTAACTCTTTGAGTTTAGTGTCACTTTAAACTTTAAGAAACCTTGAAGTTTTCTGAGCATGTGCCAGATTTCTCATATTAGTACCATTTTATATTTAGTATTTACATGTTTTTATACATCTTTTCATTTATCGTTCACATGTTGCTACCTGATAAAGATCTGTTCAGTGAAAGTAATTATGTATAAAATGCACCTACAATATGGAAAGTTGGTCTGCAGGTTAAAATAATAGTATCAAAACCGTCTCTCAGAATTTCCAGCAGAACAAGGGACAGAGTGGAGCCTTATTTCTGGGCAAGTTAGTTTTGATAAGGGGATCACTCTGTCTAGTGTCGGCTCCAGTTTTGAGAGCTCTGCACTGATTTTGCCACTACCATTCACAAGTGTGTACAAGACTTTTTTGTAAGCCAAGCCTACTGTGTCAGGACAATGTCCGAACATTGTCTCTGTGAAGTTCCTTTTGCAAGATGTTTTTTGGGTTTTCTTTGATGAACTGCCCATTTCAATCTGTGGACTGATAATGACTTCTGTTTGGCAAGAAAACCAACACTGAATTCCAACATAAGAATGCTATCCCATCTGTGAAACGTGGTGGCAGTATCATCCAGTAATCTTCCAGGACAGCATCTGAGAGATAGTCTCCTCCCACCTGAAACATGAAACACATCACATACACCAAATAAAAGGGTGCTTGCCCCCAGCATACCTCAGTTATTTGTGTTTCCTCTGCCTAACAGGAGCATGGGACCACCACAGAATGATTCTTTGTTGTTTTTCTGTATAGGCCTGCGTGCACGTAGCAGGGGCCTGCTGCTCTGGTATCTCCTTCCTTTGATGGGGCCAGCGGTCTTGGAGATACCGGGGTAAGATCCCTAGGGCAGCCCCCAATCCTGTCCTACCCTTAGGGGTGAATTGGCCCTGAGGTTTCTCTCTTTTAAGAGGGCAGCCATCCTCATTTTGTGACGGCTCCAGCTGAGCTTTTTCCCAACTAGCAGGGGTTACAGCTGCCTTCTAGAGGGACTCTGGCGGTCTGATGGAGCGGAACCGTGTGCACCCAGAAGTGGAGTGAGCCCGCCGGTCATTTTGGCCTCATACCCCACCTCTGCCGCATTTTTCGTTACTCGCTTTTTTTTGTGTAGTAGCAGCGGGGAGCCTCGCGCCATCGCAGGCTGTTTCTTTGCGGCCGCCTCGGTCAAAGAGAGCTCGTGGGGCGGAGGCGCACAGGAAATTACGTCAGACGCTGCCGGCGGAAGTGGTGTTGGACGGTCACAGGCCGGGGGCGGTACTGCAAGTGTCGGCTGGAAGTGGCGTCGGGTGGCACATTTCCGGTCCGGCCATTAGAGGGATGCGCTCCGCTCAGCCATGCCACTGATCAGAACCTGGAGTGAGGGCCAGCTACCCGGCGGAGAACCTTGTGGCACCAAACGAGGTGGAAGCAATTGGAGCGGATGCAGGGAGCGCGGAGCTTCGCATTGGTCAGCGACCATGCAAGCAGACTCTGCAACAGTTGCTGCACCCACTGATCTGGGAGAACCCTCTGCAGCCAGCTCTAAGGTAGGCAGGTGCATGGCACCTTAAACTACCCGGTACCTTTGGTGGTGGAGGCAAGGGTACATTGAGGGGGCATAGTGGCTCTTGGGAGGGCTAATTACACTTTATGTGTTTTTTTTTGTTGTTGTTTCAGGCCAGAAACCCTGAAGAAAAGCCCATAGCCGGGCCCTCAGGCTCACGTCCCAAGTACAGGAAGTGTGCCGCTTGTGGTGATTAGCGTCCTTACACAAAAAGCCACTATGCCAGCCATGCTTAGAAAAGCTGCTGGCAGAAGAATCTGCGGGGAATTTTAAGGGCTTACTAGACAGCATGAGGCAGGAGATGGTTGCGACCTTTCAATCTCTGCGTTCTGTCATTCAGGATCAGACTGGGCCTACGGGGCCAGATCCTGCCATGCCCGGGACTTCCGGGATTCAAACCCGCAAGTATTCAGAGATCGGTACCAGTCGGGAAACCGTAAAATCCGGGGATTCTTCCTCCAATTCGGAGGAGGACGAATCTGCGGAGGAAGGGGAGGTCAGGGCTTCCAGATTTCTTTTTCCAGCATCTGACACTAACGAACTGCTCAAAGAGGTCTGGGAAACCTTGGGAATCAAGGAGGAGCAAACCGAATTGTCGGTGCATGATAGCCTTTATAAGGGGCTTCTTTCCAAGAAAGGTAGGACTTTTCCAGTCCATCAATCCCTCAAAGACCTCATCCTCGAGGAATGGGCTGATCCCGAGAAGAAGCTGCACTTTCCTCCTCGGCTGAAGCGGAGATTCCCCTTCAGCGAGGAGGACTGCGGAGTCTGGGAAAAATGCCCTAAACTAGACGCTTCCCTTTCTAAAGTGTCCAAGAAAACTGACTTATCGTTTGAGTACATGGGGGCACTTAAAGAGCCCATGGACAAGAAAGCGGACTCGCTTTTTTACGAAAGGCATGGGAAGCAGCGGCGGCGGGGTTCAAGCCAGCCCTGGCCACCACCAGCATAGCCCGGACACTGGATGTCTGGCTGGGCCAGCTCCATTCTCTATTGGTCTATCTTGTGTCAGAATCTTTTCAGGGTCTCTCCAAGGCTGTTGCTTATGTCGCAGACGCCTCGGTTGAAGCCATAAAGTTTTCAACGCGTGCTTCGGCGCTGATCAATTCTTCTCGTAGGGCTCTTTGGCTCAAGACCTGGTCTGGGGACGTTGCGTCAAAGAACCGGCTCTATGGCCTACCGTTTAAAGGAGATCTGCTTTTTGGTAAGGAGCTGGAGGCGGTTCTGGACAGGTCTTCAGACAAAAAGAAAGGGTTTCCCCTGGCAAACAAACAACCTAGGAAGCCCTTTCGAGGTCAGCTTGCCCGAACGAAAAAAGGACAGGGGCAAAAAATGGGCTTTTAAGAAGGGGAAAGGCAAAAGTGGGTTTCGTTTTTCCCCCCGCACAGGCCCAAGCAAAACCCCAATGACTGCCCGGCTTTGGTGGGGGGAAGACTCAAACTGTTCCTCCCCCAGTGGCAGGAGGTCACGAACAGCGGTTTCATCTTGAACCTGATCCAGTGGGGTTACAGGATAGAGTTATTGAAACCAGCTCCTGCCAGCTTTCTCATGACATTCCTTTCGAAAAACCCAGACAAGGCCCAAACGATGATACTAGATTTGCAGAACCTCATGGACCAGGAAGTAATCTGCCCGGTACCAGAAGGGGAACGGGGTATGGGATGCTACTCCCATCTCTTTGTAAGGAAAAAGCCCTCGGGCAGTGCCAGGTTAATCCTAAATTTGAAACCCTTGAACAGAGTGGTTCGGTACAAGAGGTTCTGTATGGAATCCTATTTACTAAGTAAGAAGCCTGTTGTCCCTGCTGGTGTTTCTAGCAAAAATAGACTTAAAGGATGCGTATGTCCATATACCAATCAGGGAGCAGTCGCAGCAACTCCTCAGATTTGCGATAAAAGGACGACCCCTCGGGACGGCTCAGTACAGAGCTCTCCCTTTCGGTCTTTCATCTGCGCCAAGACTCTTTTTACAAAGGTGCTGGCGGAGGCTCTTGCTCCACTGAGGCTTCAGGGGATCGGGGTTATCCCTTACCTGGACGACCTGTTGTTCTTCAGCCACTCCCGGGAGACCCTCA